ATGTTTTAGTTATGTCTAGAGGAGGAAATACGCATTCAATCCTATTATATTTGTGGATTTTTTTTTTATCATTTCATCTATCAAAGAAATTTTAGTAATGATTATAAGATTATCTTTAGATATGTTTGAGCAAATTAAAGTGAACTTGAAAATGTAAAAGAGGTAGGGAACTGAAATTTATTCTTTTTCGATGAAAAAATTAGAAACATGAATGGATGATTTATGTTGGGAATTTTACAAGAAATACTATACTATTCAAAACACTTTCCCAATCTACCATAAATTAAAAATGTTTTCAAAATCTACAAGAAAATACGGTTGAACTCTTGGGAAACGACTTTTTTGTCCCTAACTATGACTTATGATGTAGCTAGTGTTTTTTTCCATCACCATTCAATGTTTAGACTACCGCTATACACCACCGTCTTTGTTTATGTCTACCGTCCACTACCATTTATGTCTCTGTTTACAACCACCATTTTCGTCTTTGTCCACTACCACCGTCTCCATCTACAGTACACCACCATTTCTGTCTCCCTCTACAACCACCATCTTCATCTTTGTCCACTATCGTCTCTGTCCACTACAACCATCTATGTATTGTTAGTGCAGAAGAATCTGCTGAAGCAACATGACCAGTGAAGCAGTGAAGAGTTCATGTGCTACACAGAAGCTGGAAGGAATAATCAACAAACTAAGGAGAAAAGTCTTCTTGTGACTAGGCACGCCAGGTGGCACCTCGAGTTGGGAGCCGCACTACCAGGAAGCGTACGCGGGAAGTCGGGTTCGGGAAACAAGGAGTTCTGACACAAGTGCACAAAGTCAAGGTGCAAGTGGGTTTACTTACTGTTGAGAAAAGGTTGATGGAACTAGTGGTCTGACATCAACATGAGCAGTTCTGTTGCCCTTTCGGATTAAGGGGGAGCTGTTTTTAGGGCTATAGGAGTTGTTGGTTGCTACTACTATAAAAGGAGGGAGAATAGTTCATATGCCGACTAGTTCTTCCAAAATAGGTCTTTGAAGAACTCAGAAACAGTGAGAGCCATTTGATATGTTGTGTTGAGTGAAAGAGATAGGTTTCGTAACTGTTGTTACGTTACATTGGGTAGATTAGGAACACGTTCAGGAGCGAATCACGGTGTGTGTGATGTCGCGTAACTCTGGGTAGAATAGGTTATAGGATCTGTTCTATAGAAGTGTTTGAGTAATCTATCTGTTGCAACAGCTGTGTCGTGTATCAGCTATTGTGTCCTGCGGGGAAAGCAATAAAGACTGTGTGTTTTTATTAAACACTTTCTGTCTCTTGTTCATATCTCTGTTCAAGTATTTTGTGCAAAGATTCCTGCTTTTTCATGTATTTCTCTCTGTCCACCATCCACCACTGTCTCCATCTACAACCATCGTCTTCGTCTTTGTCCACTACCATCTTTGTGTTCACCTGTAT